AACTGTCAGAGAGCCACAACCTATTGCCGGCGTTTAGACATGTTAGAGTTTTTTTGTAATGAATTAATTATTTATTTATTTACTCTAAAAAATGCTTGCTTAGAAAAATAAATACGAATTTTCACGTATAATCACGTAATATGAACGAGATTTGCACACGATTTGAACTCTATTGCCCGCGATTTGCACGTGAATACATGAACCTTTCATATCCAAATGTTTTATAAATAATTGTTGTCCAATTTGTTTGGTATGCAAACACATATTATTATTGCTGGAAAAGACAATATTATTATTCAATATACTATCATCGATCATCAGTTAGTGCGTATGGTATTTCATCTTGTTTTCATATTTAATTTTCTTTGTTTTTATTAGTTACGAATATGCATCTAAAAATTACCACGAAGCCCAAAATAACACTAAACAAATTGGGGTTGTTATCAAGTGGGGCTTCTGGCATATTAATTTCCCCTATGTCCCAACCGAGCCTTACTCAAATTTTATTTGCTTCATCGATTCTATATCGAAAACCTAATTTCGAGCATTTTTAAGATTATTTATAGATATAACCCTAATCTCTTATATCCTTAATCAAAATCGGAGATATATAATTCTTGGATTTCCAAAGATTCTCAGAATCACATGTAAAAATTTAGATCCCGAGAATTTTGTAATTAGAATCGGAACCGGAATTAAGGAAAAAAATTTCCCAAAAAAAAAAGGAATTTTTTTCCACATTTCTTTTTTTCAAATTGGACTTATAACTTGTGGTTCAGAAAAGCCAAAAAACATAATTCAATTCGGTAGAACTTGGTCTATTTATGATGAATAGACTTTATCTTTGTCGAGCCAGTATTAATGAAATATATCATTAACAAACAAATTAATACAAAAATATTACCTCCCACGGAACAAAAATGTGCATTTGATCCATACAACAAAAATGTTTATTTTGGTAAAACAAACAATGAATAAATAAATAAAAACCTAAAAATTAGTTAAAAATATTTGTAGGTACACGTTTAAAAAAATCCGCGACGTGAAGTCGACAGTAGGGTATACGGTGATTCCGTACACCGTTGCTCTATTGTCTTCTGTCATATGGTTATATTATGGATGTCTTAGGCCAAATGCAACCATGCTCGTTATCATTAAGAACATAGGTTGCGGAATCGAGATTGCATACATCGTCGTATTTTTCAACTATTCCGGGCGTAATGATCGGGTAAGTTCAGAATTTCTCCAAGATACTTAAAAAAAAATTAAAAAGGAAATTGCTAATAGTTAAAAAATAAAATTTATATTGTAGATTTTTACTACCGTTACCTTGGGCATCCGCACTAGCTTTTTGGCACAATCACCTTTGTCTCGTACTTTATGTACAAAGGTGACTTGAGGATCGAGGTCGTCGATTGGCCTCGGAGCATCTATCCTTGTCTATGCGGCCACTCTAGGCACCGTGGTAAAATTAGTATTATATAGATTTATTTAGTAAAAAAATAATTTTATTTATATAACTTTTTCGTATACCATTTTTTATATGTTAGAGCTATTAGGACACACTATGCAGTTCATACCTATCACATTGATGTGCGTCCTGACATCTAATATTGTGATATGGGGGTAACTATGCTTTTGCCAAAGATGATGCCAATATTTAGACAAATAAATACTACACAACATTAAATCTAATGAAATACTAAATAATATTTCTAATTTGAAACTTTACATTAAATACAGATTCCGAATGCTATTGGATTGTTTTTATGAGTCGACTAGATCGTTGTGTACGTTATCTACCGTACACCACAGACTGTCAGAGAGACACAGCCTACTGCCGACATGTATTTATGTTAGAAATATTTTTGTAACTTGTTATTTATTTACGTTTTTATTCTTAAAAATGTTTGCTTAGAAAAATAAATAAGAATTTGCATGTATAATCACATAACCACGTAATATGAAAGAGATTTGCACGTGATATGCACTTGATTGCCCGCAGTTTGCACGTTAATACATGAACCTTTCATATCCAAATGTTTTATAAATAATTGTTGTCCGATTTATTTGGCATCCAAATGCATATATTGTTATTATTACTATTATTGTTGTGCAAAAGACAATATTATTATTCGATATACTATCATCGATCATCAGTTCTTATTTGTGGTATTTCATCTTGTTTTTATATTTAATTTTCTTTGTTTTCATGAATTTTGAACATGCATCTAGAAATTACTACGAATCCCAAAATAACAGTAAACATATTTTCGTTGTTATGAAATGGAGCTTATGACATATTAATTTCCCCTATGTCCCTATCGAGCCTTACTAAAATTTTATTTGCTCCGTCGATCTTATATCGAAACCCTATTCCAAGCATTTTTCAATAATATTTGTATATATAATCGTAATCTCTTATATCCTCAATCAAAATTTGAGATATATAATTCTTGAATTTTCGAAGCTTTTTGGAATCACAGGTAAAATTTTAGATCCCGAGAATTTTGGAATTAGAATCGGACCGGAATTAACGAAAAGAATTCTCAAAAAAAGGAATTTTTTTTTTCTAAATTTCATTTTTTTCAAATTGGACTTATAACTTGTGGTTCAGAAAAGCTATCAAATTAAATTCAACTCGGTATAACTTGGTCTATTTATGATGAAATAGACATGAATTTATCTATGTCGAGCCAGTATATATAAAATGTATCGTTAAAAAACAAATTAATATAAAAATAGTACCTTCACGCACGCAAAAAAAATGTGCATTTTGATCTTTACAACAAAATGTTTATTTTGATCAGAACAATAATAAATAAATAAATAAAAACCTAAAAAAATGTTACAATTTTTTGTAGGTATATGTTAAAAAAACATATGTGACGTGAAGTCGATAGTAAAGTACACGGTGATTTCGTACAACGTTGCTTTATTTTCTTCTGTCATATGGTTATATTATGAATGTCTTAGGTCTAATGCAACCATGCTCGTTATCATTATGCATACATCATCGTATTTCTCTACTATCCTGCCGTAATTATCGAGTAAGTTCCGAATTTCTCCAAAATACTTATAAAAATATTAAAAATAATAATTAACTTGGAAATTGCTAATAGTTAAAAAATAAAATTTATTTTGTAGATTTTTGTAGTCGTTATCTTGGGGATCATCACTAGCGTATTTGGTACAATCACCTTTGTCACGTACTGTTCGTTCAAAGGTGACTTGATGATGGAGGTTGTCAATTGGATATTTCTCAGAACATCTATCCTTATATATGTGGCCATTCTAAGCATCGTGGTAAGATTAGTATTATTTAGGTTTAGTTAATACACATTTAATTTTATTTATATAATTTCTTCGTATACCATTTTTTAAACCACTCACACAACTACGGAAGAAGGGCCAATCTAAATGGAGTTCAGAGGCACAAGAAACTTTAGAGAAGCTATGACTAACACACATGTATTGCAACTGCCCAATTTTAAAAAGGCTTATGTGGTAGAAACATATGCTTCCTACCAAGGGTTTGGTGTAAGCAACAGCCCTTGGCATATGTGAGTAAAGTTTTAGGGCCTAAGAGCATGGGGTTATCGATTTATGGGAAGGAGTTTCTGGCCATTCTCTTGGCTGTACAAAAGTGGAGGGTTATCTCATAACTGATCAAAGAGACTTAAGTACCTATTAAGCATAAGCTATCTACTCATCTACAACATAAGCACTTAACAAAATTAATTGGGTTCAGTTACACCATTGAGTACAAGAAAGGAGTGGAGAATGGAACTGCTAATGCTCTCTCTAGAAATTTTGAAGGAGTAGAATTATCTCAAATCAGCATACTACATTCATTATGGGTCCAATGGGTGGGGTTGAGTTTGTTAGAGTAGGTGACCAAATATTTCATATAATCTAGAAGATTCCACTAAATTTAAAACGAGTTTTTTTGCAATAACTACCATTGTGTAATCTCTAATTATCGTAAAACCCCCCATGTTAAAAAAATTGGCAGGCCCCCCCCATGAAATGTAGTCAAAGATAAAAAAAAGAAAAAGCCCCTAATAACTTATCGTGTGTTGCACACGCAAAATTTGCGACTGAGAGTGTAGTTTATTACCTTAAAAGACACACTTCATCACAAATTTAAAAATTGCAGATTCACCCTGAATTTTTTATAAGCACCAAAATGAACTTTTCAATTTTTTTTTATTTTAGCCCCTTACACTTTCATAAGAGCCCTCTCCTACACCACACCCAAAAATACCATTGCCGGCCACTCCAGCTCAAAAAACTCCTAACTAGCTGCCCAACTCTACCACCACCTCCGCTTCGCCGCCCGCCTCACTACCCCCGCCGTCTACGACTACCCTCTCCACCGTCAACCTCCCAAAAACCTCAAGTCGCCAAAATCTCACAAATGCCAAAAGAAAAGGTAAGCACCCCCTTTCGTCTGTTCCATATCTCCCAAGAAACTTCGACCACTTCAACCGGCAACAAGTGCCACAGTTCCACCAAATCAAGCACCACTATGGCGGCGCAATGTTCGGAAAGAATTTCGTGGGACGCAGTTGGTGGATTGCGTCGGTCTGAGATGCGAGTGTGGGATGTGCGGTGGTGGACGACTGATTTGGGCTATGAGAGGTAGACGGCCGACACCTGCGGGAGTATGGGGCGGCAGCGGGACGAGGTAATTGTCGCGGTGGTGGTGGAAGTTTGAAGGAAGAGGGGCAACTCTTGCTTCTTTCAATTCACTAATTAAAATTGATAAATGAGGCACTGTGCAATATAAAGTACAACATAGGGGGGATTTGCTAATTGTTTTATCACGAGAACTTTTTTAACAATTAAAAATAACATAGGGGTGTGTGCTATTAGCTCAATTTAAAACCACAAGTATGGACGTGTAAGAAGATTTATAGTTGAGGGGAGTGGTTGTAATTACCCAAACATAAGGGGGATTTTCGTAATTTAACCATACCTCAGAGATGGTTGTAATTTAGCCCTAAAAAAACAAAGTTAAAATATAGCTTATACAGATCCAAAACTCCAAATAATAGAAGGCTGAAGATGCTCTTAATAACAAGAATAAATGCTACATATATATAATGCAATAGCACAAGATCTTTATTAGAAGAAAATAATTGTCTAAAGATAAAAAAAAAAAAAAAACAAACCAATAAAGCCGAGCTAACTAGCTAGCTAGTTAAACTAGGGAAAATATGATATTGATGCAAATTATATTCCAATGCATCGATTTTGCACGACGTGTAACTAAATCTCAATCCCGAAAAGTTACGTGTGTCGACCATCAGTGCAACGCAATATATGATCTAGATTTATTAAAAAAAAAACCAAGCGTACTTTTAATCGAATGTGACCACAACTTTGATTCCAAAAGTGTCGGTGTCATCACTCGAAGGATTAATAATCATGACGGAGCCTTCGTCACTAACCGCCGATGACGAACTAATCCAGCAAGAAACATAATCAGCTTTATTTCCTTCGTCGAAACACAAACTGTCCAATCCGAGTTCATCCCATGTTCTAATTGCACAACTAGTGATGATTACTCCACTAATCTTGTTTTCCGATACTAATAAACCATCGAAAAGCCCTTTTCTTGAACACATTTCAACTTTATTATAAGCATCCTCCTCTTCACAAGGCAACTTGTGTAGCAACAACGACAAGCTCGATGCCATTTTCGAGCCCGTTTTTCGTTCCGCCTCTTCGATGCATAAAGCAGCAAGATTCTTGTGATTATTGCGAAGAATATTTTTCGGAACTGTGAGAATTACACTTTGAGCAGCTACGTAAGTAGTAGTATTATTTTTGCATGCCTTATAATTAGAGCCCGCAATTAGTCGATAATCATTAGGAGATGATACATAATTAGGAAAGTAAAAATAGGGAATTTTGGGGATATTAGTTCTTGAAAATATGGTTTTGTGAACTTTGGACCATTTTTTAAGGAAATTTGAAAAGGTAAAAGGATCCACAAGAAGAAGGCTCGAAGTGATTCCAATTGAATATCCCCCAAAAGTGAAGTTTGTCACCTGCAAAAAGAATATACCAATAAAATTAGTCAACGGCGTGTAAATGTTAAAAATATAGGAGTATATTTATAAATATATTATATAAACATATATAAGTTATTATATATATTTTCAGACAAACATATTCAAAGTAATATGCAGTTGATTATTAAATCATGTAAATAATTACGAAAGCAACAAAAATATTTGAAAATTTGTTATTCAAATAGGTTTCTAACTTGTTAGAAATTGTAAAATGGCATATAAGGTATCCAACAGGTGTTCTCGAGCGTCGGACACGAAACATGAGTCCAAAAAATTTGTTGACATTTCCGTGCTGCATGGAAAATTAGTAGAAAAATATGTGATTTTTCTAATGCATTATGTATTCACGTATTTATTTTGTAGATAGTACTTTCCTTTCCCACAAATCTAAAAGAATCTATAATTAGATTAGTAAAACCTACTAAAAATCCAAAGAAAAAAAAATATATATATTGTTTTTAAATATAATTTTTTTTTAACCTAACAAAATTAAAAAACAAATCAAAAAAAAAAAACCTGGATATAGAACAGTGGTGAAAACTGAGGGTTGTGCTCCACAATATCCTCCCAAAACACAAGATCATTAGCTTCTCTCTTATTAGCCTTCAACTCACCAACAAACTCAGCCAACTTCACATGATCAGCTCTCACCTCCACCATTCGAACTCCGGCATCATTCGGAACAATCTCAAAATCTCCGCCGCCTTCTTCTTCGGACTGCCGCCGCAGCCTTCCGGCGAGGATGGGCTCTTCTTCGAGAGCTTTACCGAGCGACTCCTTCATGCGCCCGGCAAGAATCCAGCCAGAATCTTCTTCGGAAGCTTTTGTGTAGCAGAGAAGAATGTGGAGACGTCTCTGTAGAATATTCATATTCATGTTTTGCGGGGGGAGATTATTAATTCTCAAGGGTTTTCTTGTCTCCGTTGGCTTTGTTGGCATAACTGTTTGCATTGTTTCTATTTTGCAGAGAAAATAAATGAGGATGGCAGAATTGTAAATATGTATGTGTACTTAATTAGCTTATGATGATATATATATTTATAAGGGATAGAAATTAAATTGTTATCAACTTGTGGTGTGAATGCATATAACATTCATTAATGTTACGTTTGCCTAGAATTTGTAGTATATTGGTGTGGATTTTGTATTATTAATAGCTACCGGTTATTCTAAAATTAATTGGTGTTAGAAAAGGCAGCATGTTCGACTATGACTCTTCCAACTCCCTAACTTCCGCAACAGAGCAATTGGTGACTCGATTCGGTATGCGCCTTTGCCCCGATTACCATCCGCCTATGGACGGATGCCTGGGTGGGGCTGAGTCATTCATTACTTGGTAGTGGAGGCTCTAGAGTAGGTAGAATCATAATCTAAATTTGTAGGAGCTAAGGTATGTATGTATTAAAGCACTATAAAGTTAAGTACATTTTATGATGTTTTAAGAGCATATTAATGGCGTCGGAGGTCCGACATCCTACCATCAAGACATGGATCAATAATCAAACAAAATCGATGTTGAGTACGATGAATACTTCACCAATATCATACTTCAGTAATGCAGTGTAATTACGAACACTCTCTCTTCTTGCATATATAGTACTATACCCCGGCCCGGCCCTTAAATATGCATATAAATATTGCTAACAATTGACCAAAATTATTTGAAATTTACTTTCGAAACGTTTTTCTATTTTATTTTATTTTACAAAAATGAACCACTGAGTAGTTATGAAAAAAAATACACAAACACATACGACTCGGAGAAAGAACACTAAAGAGGAAATATATGAGTTATTTGATGTCACAAGCTGTCCGGGGAACAATGGTGGTGGTGGTACAGCTATTTCATCAACTTGTGAATAGCTGCTTAAAGAAACAACTTATATGCATTCAATAATCTAAATAAATTGTTTTATTTTATTTATTTTACGACAATTCGCTTTCTTCCTACATACTAGACATACCTAATTGCAAGCGGACCCAGGACTATGTGATTATTTGAAAACATTTCAAAATGTTAGCTTGAGTTTGGTAATAATTGTCCACGCGGGGGAGATTCGAGTATGGGCGTCCACAGTTGAATGTCGTGGCCATTTGTGTGTGTTGAATTCACTATAAGGCTTTTGTTTAGGTCTTTCCTGACACCAATTGATTTTAGAACAACTAGTAGTGTCTGGGGTCTTACCAGTCGTTTCGGAACCAAGGTCACGAGTTCAATTCCCAGTTGGAGCAATTGTTGATGGGAAAATGGGGTCAAAATTGGAATAAGAGTCAAAGTTGGTTAATTGGTGAAATTTAACTAAATTGGAGTGGTTAATTGGTGAAATTTAACTAAATTGGAGTGTAAATCATGAAATTGGAGAGAAAGAATACTAAAGATGAAGTATATGACTTGTTTGATGTTACAAGGTGTCTCGAAATATTATTTAAATAACTAGTCACTAAGCACACATACAGATGGGTGTAGGTGTGCGTGCAAATGTGTATGTATGCTTAGTGATTAGTGATTATGTGTAGATAATAACTAGTCACTAAGCACACATACAGATGGGTGTAGGTGTGGGGGCAAATGTGTATGTATGCTTAGTGATTAGTAATTATGTGTAGATGTACGACTAGTTTAAATATTCAATTTCAGGTGTAACATCTAATTTCATTATTTTGTGAATAAATGCTTAAAGAAACTAAACAAGTAATAAATATTTATAATTATAATAATTAAAATAATAAAAACTTTAATCATATTTTTTTACCTTTTCTTCTTAACCGAGGGCATTGATATGTAGACAGTAGAATAATTAAATCTATATTTTTACTTTTAATAAATTGATCGGCCGAATATAAAACATAGTAATTTGTTACTTGATAATTTTATATCATCTTCATATGAAATAATATATTGAATATAGATAGTTAGAGAGCTAAATATTGAATTACATACATTATAAAATATGGGGCACAAGCCCCCTACCCTAATTCGGTTAGACCATTGCCTAATTGTACCAACTTGGATTAATTATCTATTGTGGAGGCCCGCCGTATAACTAACTACTTGATAGCTACTCATTTGTTTAAGCATTAATTTTTTTATTGTTTTAATTATTTTACTTATATATAAAAAAAATATCAGATGATTTTTTTTCCTATGCTTTTTGGTTCGCAATTAAAATTATAGTCCTAAAGTCTATTATTTATTCCGTTTTAATAACAGAATAATTCAAGGATCCACACATTTCCAAATAATTAGATATATATGTAGATTTATATGTCTATAGAAATCTATTAACCTAAGTTGTAACAGTTACTTGTGGAAACAGTATTCAATTACAACTACAATTCTTGTAATCACACAGTTATAAACTACTGAAAGTAAGTAAATGAACACAAGAATATAATGTGGTTCAGAAACAAATGTGCCCTACATCCACGTGGACCTGCAAACATGATTTCAATAGTTCAGATTTCCGTGTTTCTCTATAGCAGCTCCACTCTGCGTGCCCTGAACTTTCTTCAAGCCTGAACTCCCTTCAGAAACGCGGCTGATCTCCCTTGAGATCTATACAGCAGATCTGTATATGTTGGCACAACCAGTGATGGCACAGTCCTGCTCCGCAGAACGCCTCCGCAAACCTTCGATGCTATGAAGTGGTTTTTCTTCCGATAAATGCGCACGGTTCTTGTATGTCTTGGAGGGTTATATAGCCACAAAAATAAGCTCTAAGACCTAACTTGAACCCCAAGAAATCTATTTAACTAGGTAATATAATCCTAGTTGATTTCTACTTCTATTCTAGATAAATACAAAAGATACCCAACTTGAATAAAATATATGTAAATAAATCTAAGTCCTAATAGAAGCAGGACTCTAATAAATTCCAAAATAAACATGAAAAACAAATCTTTGCCAATCTTTTAATTCCAAAACTCGGCCGATTTTCTCGATCTTCAATAGTCGAAAATCTGGCGCCAACAATCTCCCCATTTGGCATAGATTGGTCAGAATCCATGTTTAACAAGAACTCCCCCTGCAGACGATATTTTCTCCCCCCTGCAACAAAGAGTGTTCACACCACAGAAGTTGCAACATCTAGATGTTGTAACACAAACAATTTCCTGCATCACAAGGTTATCCAAAAACAGGTGCAAGGCACAAAATAGAGATAACCGTTCAGAAAAATCAAGATTCAAGAAATAGGCTTAACTATTACAGATCCAAATAAAATGCAAGCAGACTAAGGAAAAAATAGAATAGTTCAAGGGAGAACAAAATAACAGAAAGCTAGTACAGACAATCACCCCTCAATAGTAGTAGTCAGAGAACAGTTTTTTTTTTTTTTTTTTTTTTTTTTTTTTTGTCTGTTGTTCCTTTGCAAGACACCGCTTTGCCTAAGGGCTCTAGAGTTGTTGCTACTCCCCCTTTCTGATCAGACTGTGCCAAAGTGATGATCAATTGATCCTGAATAGAAGCTAATCCTTGAGAAAGCTGGACCTGGATGAGAGTCTGGAAATGAGTGAAATCAGCTTTGGTGACAACAGCTTCAGAAGTTACAGCTGGAGTGGAGTCAGGAGCAGGTCACTTGGCCATATAGAAAGCACATAGATCAATGCAGAAAAAAAAACTTTTCAATTTCCTTTTGAAAACATTCGAATCTTTGAAAAGATACAAGAAAATCCCACTAAAAACGCGTTAAAACAGAAGGATATTCACACACGTTTCTTAGAGTGTTACACAGAGCACGTGCCAACATGTCCATGTGTCAACAGCTAGGCAACGACCATAATACATTCAAGAAGCCCAGATTTTCAGAGATTAAAAAATGAAAAAAAAAAAAAAAACAAAAATACACGGTGTAGAAACCAAGTTTTACAAGGAAAGAAATTCAAGAGAGATCACAAGAGCAAAAAGTAGAGTGCCTTGTTTTCAAAGATTAACCAGAAGAACTTAGAGCGAGACACCGATAGAAGGCCACCAACATGCTCTTGGATGCACGATATACCTAGAGCCCCATGACCATACTCAAGAAATCATAAATTATGTATATTTAATGGGGTTATGAATGCATATGCGATTAGCACAGCAATTCGATCGTGAACTTCAAGAAGAATTTCACTAATACTTACCTGAACAACATCCCAAAAAACAAAATCACACACATTTTATTTTTTACACAGCATTCCAAAATTCCAAAATTCCAAAATTTAGACTCCAACATGGCGAAAATCGAAGAACAAATCTTGATGGGGGAAAGTGGCGGAAATTGATTCCTATTAGGTTTCCACTACTTCCTTATCAAGAAAAGCCTATAAAAAACAACATGTCTCTACACCATAAGCACGAAATTTTACACCACATAACGCGAAGAACGAAGATCAACGAAGACTGAAGCATAGTGTTTCTTATTTATTTTACTTTATTTATTCTATTTTGTTTATCATAAGAATTACGAGTAGCTAAGTTTTTAATCTAGGGTTTTGTTGGAACCCTATGTGGTGATTCGAACCTGATTTTCTAATATTATGCAAGTTTAAATTCCATGATTATTTCTTCTATTTGATCTTATTTAGCGCATGAACCTAGCTAATTTATGTTGCTATGTGTTATTGTTAGAATTGATTGACAGATCGTTTTAATAATTAGAACATGGATAGAAGAACCTTCGAGTAGTTTTCACCGGATGAGTTGGTTAATTGCATGTATTATCGTAGACATATAGATAATACCTTACGTAGCCGTTTACGAGACTTGTTATTTAATGCTTTATTCATAATTGGTTTGCATAGACATATAGTGAATCGTTTATGAATAACAGACTCATAATACACGCGACATCGGGTTATGAGTAATGAGTGTCTCGGGTTAATAATCGGGAATCGTAACTTGCATGATAGAGGTTCAATTGGGTGAAGAATTATCGCATATGGGGAAGATAAAATCCTAGATCCGTTTTTATTGATATTCTTTCGTGTTTATTTGCTTTTATAATTAGTTTAATGATTTAGTTGATTAAATTTAACAACCTTGTGTATGCTGGATAAAAATCATAATTGTTAGAATTTGGTACTTAAGATTAGGTAATTTGAGTATTCCCTATGGGATCGACATCCGACTCTCACGAGTCCATTATTAGTACTTGTTTG